GAACAATTCTGTATAAACAATGATGGATTTAACAAGGAATCAGTTGTGAGCATTAATATTTTTAGTAAAAATATTTTTTACTAGTAACTAGTGCAGCAGTTTACAGTGTGGAAGATGATTGGTTGGTTCTTGTCACATGACCTACAGTGCGCTTGCGGCATTCTGAAAAGTTGAGATGTTTTTATCTCGATGCGGTGCGGACGCGCTTGGATAAAACGGGCGCGTGGCTTCCATTATGAGCGCGCATACAGCGCGCCTACATTTGAAATAACAAACTTGAGCGCGCAAAAGACACGATATGTGAACAGGTAAATGTGTGAATAAATAAAACGGAAATAATGTAAGTTATTTATTCTTTCGGTCCGCGGCCCGGGGGTTGGGGACCCCTGTTTTAAAGGACAGGAAGTGACGAAATGGTTGTAAGCGGCGCAATAAAGACACAGACGGTTTATAATTCGACGCTGGCGTTCTGAAGCAGAGATCCGGATTCCACCCAGCTGCATGGGTTCCTGGTCCGCCGCAGGTGCAGTAGAAGGGGAGCCGATAGAAGATGAGAGAGAAGGCGGGACCGCTGGACGTGCTCGTCGACGCAACTCAAAACGTTCCTCCACACGTAGAGCCAAATCAATGAGGGGGTTGAGGGAAGATGGTATCTCACGAGCCAGAACCTCATCCCTGATCTCGGCGTTTAACCCTTCGACAAAGCGCGCTACCAGCGCGGGCTCGTTCCAGCCACAAGAGGTAGAGAGCGTGCGGAATTCCACCGAGAAGTCGGCGACAGAGCGTCTTCCCTGACGCAGAGAGGATAACTGACGAGAAGCCTCCGATCCCCGCACCGAACGGTCGAACACTCGTAACTTTGGTTTTGCATCTTCTTGCAGCTCAAGACGCGCTTTGATGTGCTTCATGGTTCCAATGCCTTCACTGAAGACTTATGCATGCTTGTCAAGTATTTCAGATAACTTTTTGTCAGTGAGCTGTTTGGAGGCAATACGCAAAATGATGTTTTATTAACAAAGTTCGGGAGAAGCACGTTCAGATAATTAACACGGGTGGAGAGCACTCAGCAATCATGATTAAAATGTTTCATTAACAAAGTTCGGGAGAAGCACGTTCAGATAATTAACACGGGTGGAGAGCACTCAGCAATCATGATTAAAACGTGTACATATAGACTCAGCAGTCTCACCTCATTTCTCTGACAGTTTAGCAGCGTCCCTCCACCACCCCTTCTCCACTCTTCTAGTCCTAAACCACTTACATACGGGGGGGGAGTACTCTGGGTTCGGGCCGAATTCCGAGCTCGGAGCCCTCCCCCCGGACAGCACGCCAAATACGCATTATACTTTATTCCCCTTAATTGTATGTAAGTGTGAACTCGTGAAGTCTTTATTTCGTGCCAGTTGAGCCTGATCTGTCTTAGCCATCTGCGACCAAACAGTGGCACCCCTCCATCCTTCAGAACAAACAGCTCAAGATTGCAGGTTTGGTTCTTATATTTCACTTTCACTTTGAGTTTTCCCAGTGGCGTAACTTTTTCACCCGTGTATGTTTTCAACTTTACACTAGTGCGTGACAGTTTTGCGTCTGGGAATTTTTCCTTGTAGTCCTTGAAAGATATGATTGACAGCGCTGACCCTGTGTCCAGTTCCATTTTTAATGGCACTCCATTGACTTTTGGTGTCAGCCATATCACATCACTGTCATCCTTTTCTGTAGCATACAACCCTAAACAGGCCAATTCTTCCTCACTAGAACTGTCAGAGTCTGTTTGTGCTACTTTGTGAAGCCTCTGCCCTCTTTTTACATTTAATTTGTCTTTAGAGTTGCTGTACTTTGATTTACACATTTTCTGTATGTTCCCCCTCTTATTACATTGACGGCAGTCTTTATCTTTGAACCAACACTCCGTGGGGTCATGTGACTGTTTACCGCATCTGAAGCAGGGCTTTGCTTTGGTATTGTACAGCTTGGAGTGCATTTTGAATACAGAACATGTCGTTGGGTTTTTACCTTGCAGTTCTGTTGCATCCCTTGCTGCTGTCTCCACTGAAACCGCAATTTCCACTGCACGTTGTAAAGTAAGCTTATCCTCCATCAAAAGCCGTTTTTGAATGCTCTCATTGTGCAGCCCGCACACGAGCCGGTCCCTCAAAGCGTCAGAAAGTCCATCTCCAAACTGGCAATGCTCGGCTAGTTTCCTCAGCTCAGCAATGTATTCTGACACGGACTCACTTTTTGACTGGTTTCTCTTGTGAAATCTAAAACGCTCAGCGATCACTAATGGCGCTGGGTTTAGGTGACTTTTCAGCGTTCGCGTTATTTCATCAAAAGTTTTGTCTGCCGGTTTAGCTGGAGCAACAAGGCTGCGGAGTAGGTTGTAAGTTTTCGCGCCCATAACACTCAGTAGGACTGCTACTTGTCTTTCGTCCTGTATTTCATTTGCTAGACAGTACTACTCAACTCTTTCCACATATGTTGTCCAGTCTTCCACCGAACTATCAAAACTGTCCATATTTCCCAATATTCCAGCCATTTTTGCTTCTTTGTCGTCAAATTACTTTTACCTTGGTCTTGATGAACAAACTTCCCCAGCTCCAGCTAGCTTATCCACGGCAGGACTGCGGGGTGAACAGACGAAGCTTTCGTTCACAAAACCAAGTCCATTCAAAACTTTACACCGGTCTTATTCATCCGATGCATTTCGTGGGTTCTTCTTAAGACTCGTCGCCAGTTTGTTATGTTTATTCACTTAACATAACTCTTAAGAAACACAGACTCGCAGTAACGTTTAAGATGCTTCTTTGTTTACTGAACAAGTGTGCACACAGACATTAGAACATCAATCCGCTGACTTAGCACACATTCATAGTGGAGCGCAATGTTCTAACACGACACAAAGTAGTGCCTACTTCTATGCATTGAAATCAGAGTAAATACATAACAGTTTCCTACATTATCAATCGCTTATGTCATGTTGATCAAACTGTATTATAATGGGTCTCTGTTGAATAGTCCCCCCCCCCCCCCCCCCACACACACACACAACATTCAGGCATTAGTTCATAGCACAAGTCTTTACATGCAAAATGATTGAACAAGTTGTCATAATATGTCAAGCATATTTCTATACATTTCCATTAGACTTTTTTTTCTAAATCTGTCCTGTTCACATTTCTTTGTGCTATTCAGTGTCTTTTCCTTTCTGTATCGCAATGACATGGTCAGTCAACAAATTACAGTAGCCTACAGACAGTAAAAGTGTAAATGGGAATCTTGTCCATTCTCTTGCACTCAAACTCCCACATACACTAATGTAACGTACAATTTACAATAATCATCACCAAAACTTTATCCATAGTTTACATCAGAACATCTCCAGAGGACACTGTTATATTGACAACATGTGTTATCCGTACACAACGACACAAGCACTTCATTCTGATGCACTGACATGTTCATTGACACAGATATTTACTTCTGAGAGATGAACTCAGGATGTTGAGCAGAGATGGTGTTTCGCTATTTGTACGAATTGTTTTGAGAAATGCACTTACTGTTTTGCAAATGTCGAGGTTGATTTGAGAAATGTACCAAAGCGACTGAGAAAAACAGTATAATAAACTTAAAATTTAAAAGGATTCAACTGGAGCACATACACTACAGTTGCTGTTCTAAAGGCAAACAGCGCCATCTAGCGGCCACTGAGATTGTGCACGAGACGGAGTGTGTGTGTGTTTGTGGTAGGCTACTCTGTGTGCGTCCATTCGAGAAAAGAGAGTTCAAGATTATTTTAAAGTACTGTATTACAGTAATGAAAGATATGCTTCATATACAATTATTCCACATACTTTGCTCAGGCTGTATTTAGCATGTCTTGGAAATATTCTGATTGTGTTTTCTTCATTGGGAATTAAGCCATATAAAGTTTATTAATCTCTCTCCAAGCATCATTAAAACATATTTAAAAAGAGACACTTTCATTTTGTGAATACATTTTTATGTTAGTTTCTCTGCTTATTCTCACATAGCAGATATTCAGCAGTATTGAGGCAGGTGTATTGGCCTATTTGTGATTTTATTAGTTGACCTCTTGGTGGCGCTGTTAAACAGCAAATTATCTGTGAGAAAGATAACTGTAATATGCCCATATATCTTGAATAAATACATTTTTAAGAGTTGTCTGATTTATTGTCAAGTAAAGCTATCAGGATGATGCCATGCACTGTCATATGGACCCAATATACATGAACATTAAAATAAAGGCAAATGCCCTACCAAAATAGAAAAAAAAAACATGTTTATAGAAATGCATAAAATTATTGTTTGAATCTTTTTATAGCTTAGACACACTGACTGGAATTCAGAATCACAAACAAAGGCATATTTTTTGTTAAGCATGATATTCTGTGAAGTAAAACATTAATTTACCAAAGAGAGATAGGACAACAAAATATTTCAATATACTGTACAGGAAAATATTAGAACTATATGACTAATTACTAACAAGGGACTACTGAACACAATAAACACAACGAGATGCAGTAAAAGTAACTAAAACCTTCAAATCATTTTTCAGATTGCGACAGCATCCCAAGAGAGACTTATAAAGGCAAATATAGATGAGAGAGAGAGAGAGAGAGAGGGAGATAGAGAGAGAGGGAGATAGAGGGAGAGAGAGAGGCAAATAAAGACTAAATATTAATATGTAAATTGACATGCAAATTATGTGTTTTTTTTGTCTGCACACATTTTCTCAAAACAACAAACGTTTGTCTAAATTGCAATATTTAGCAAGGCTTTTGTCAACTTTTTGTAACAATGTGTGTGTGTGTGTGTGTGTGTGTGTGCGCGTGTGTGTGTGTGTGTGCGCGCGCGTGTGTGTGTGTGTGTGTGTGTGTGTGTGTGTGTGTGTGTGCAAACTCTTAGTGATAAACACATTATTGCTTCAATAAACATGGTGATTATATTTGTAGCACTATATCACAGAAGCACACGTTCAGAGTGCACTTCTCTAATTTTCTGATTTAACTCATCTTTTCATGTATTTCAGCACGTTGTGTTTTTCTTCTCCTGCTCTCTTCTTCATGTCTTCCAGTATTTCAGCCTTTTCAGACTCATTTATTTCCTTCATCTTCTCAATCAGAAAATCAACATGTCGGAGTGTGTTCAGTGAATCAGTGTTGAGTGCGATCTTCTCCAGAGTATCCACACAGTGAAACGCATCCATCACCAGCTGAACTCTCTTCATCTCTAATTCTTGGAGTTCTTCTTTCAGCCTCTGGACCAAAATCTCACCATCCCTAACTTTAATTATATTATGATCATATTTCTTCTTTAACTCTTCATATGTCCTCTTCTCCTTTTTTGTCTTTGTTTCATATATTTTTGCTTCTTTGACGTGTTTGGTGAAGGAGCATTTATTTGTGCACACTGTACACTGATCATTCATCCAACTGTACAATGATTGATTTCTGGCCCACCAGGAGTCTGGATAAACACAGTTCTCCTCACAGACTCTGCAGCACAACGCCACACTAGCTTTAGAGAGATCAATATCAACCTTCTCTTTGTAGGTCACTTCAACTTCATACTCAAAGTTCTTATTTTCTTCAACAACTTTTTCATGTTCCTCCAGATCTTCTTGAGTTTGTTTCAGCTCATTCTGCTTACGGTCTATCTCTTGAATATGTGATTTTATGTTGGAGATTTTTGCTTCCAACAGCCTCTGTTGTTGCAACACATCTTGGGTCATCTTCACGGTTTTTGGTTTTATGTTGTCAAGAAATTTGAAAAATTCTGTAATTCCTCTAAAACTGAGATCCCATGATTGTTTCAGCATTATATTTTCTTCATCATCAGGTTCTGACTGACAGTTGTCAAAAAGGAAAAACACCGGCTGATTCTCGTCATTCACTGCACACTTTATTTTAGCCTCTTTAACATTTTTAGGGATAGCTCCATGTGAGTGTGTGAAGAGCAAGACGATATTTTCATCTATACCTTTTCCAAATAAAGACTGAACAGCATCAAATATGTATATTTCTCTGTCAGAGAGTCGATTCTGTGTTGCTTTCATCACCAGACACACTGCATGTGTTTCATGAATCCCTTCTGCAGATGTAAATAAACTAAGCAAACTCTCAGCGATCTCTTTATCTTTCTCAACTCCACGAGTGTCTCCATATCCTGGTGTGTCGATGATTGTTAGATCAGTTTTACTCTCTTGTGGATAAAACCCATAAACAGTGATGCTGGAGGTCTGACTGTGAACTGATGTTCGGTCACTCTGATCATCTGTGATCTCAAACCAAACCTTGTCTTCTCTCTGAACATCTAACATGTAGTTGATCATCGTGTTGATTAGGGTTGTTTTTCCTGCTCCTGTTTCTCCCACCAGCAGAATGGTTTTATGGGGTTTGTTTTTGTCTCTCTCTCCAAAGGTCATTTTTCTATATGGTCCAGATTGATCCAAACTGTCTGTACTTGTTTGCAGAAGATATCGAGCAGGATTTCCGTCTTCAATTAAGATGCTTTTCTTGATGAGATTCTGTTATGCAAAGCATAAAATACAATAATAATAAATATGGTGGTGTGTACAATGTTATATTTTGAAATCATAATCAAATTGTAAAACATCCATGTTTCCTTTCACATAACTCTAACCAGAAAAGGTAAGGACTATCCATTTATTTTTATTTGTCATTTTTCCCATTAAATGCTAAATGTCAGTGTGTTTTCTAATCTCACATTAAAGTTTAAACTCCATTACATTTTTAATGATTTAAGCAGCCACGTTGATTGTACTTAAAAATTTAAGGCAGCAATTTTTTTACAGAGTAGAATTATAAAGCTATCATTGCAACCTTTTCATGACCTAAAACATTTTACAATGTATTTGTGTTTGCTGGAATGTTGTAAGTCAGCAATATTTCGGCCATTTTGAATTTTGGTGTAAAACACTGTATTTTACTATTAAAGATTTTATTATCACGCTAACATATTGTGTACTTCCCACAATGATGTTACATAGAAACCTTTATTGAGACACTATCAGCAACGCTTAAAGCAAGGAATGCAAAAAAGTTCTGTGTGAGTGTAGAATCCGTACCCTGATGTAGGGATAGTTCAACTCATAAAAACATATCAAGCCAAGGCACTCGAGAATTTAAGTAAATATATAAAAAGTCTTTGTTTAGTCATGGCTTAGATTATTAAATCAGTTGACAGATAACCGCACACCGCATGGAAGGTTCATTAGCTGCAACGTATCTGCTGAGTTTAATTGTCTAAATCATGACTAAAGACTTTTTATATATTTACATAAATTCTCACGTCCCTTGGCTTGATAATGTTTTTATCAGCAATGCTTTTCAAGTGGACATCAGATCAAGCATGATGATTAAGACTAAGATCTTAAGATTAAAGTAACAACAGGTGATATCATAAAATTACATTTTTGGCTGCTATTTGACTGACCATCATACCTCTAAGGTGACTTTGGCCTTGATGAGATCCTGGTTTATGACTGTGAGACGCGTCACATCACTCTCTACGGTGTAGTCGAGTTTTCCCACCGCTGCACATTTAATATTGTACTCAGTATCTGGTCTGAGATCAGTCAGAGTAACTGTGTCCTGGTTCTTTGACACAGTTTGAGATGTCCAGTCCTTCTCTTCCTTCATTTTATACAGTAATTTGAGCTCCTCTGTAGCAGGACCCGGTGGAGACACTTTCAGAACCACTTGCTTATATCTGACCTGTTGGACAGTGATCGGACAGTCTGGTTTTGATGGAGGAGTGAAGCAAACAGCTTCATTACATCCATTTTCATACAGGAGAATGCAGGAACCTGGATGCTTTTCATGGTATTTTATGGAAACCCTAAATTTAGTGCTTTGACTGCTATATGATGTCATCAGCTCTTTAAATATGTTCAGATGTTCTCTCATTTTCTCCCTGATGCTTCCAGTGAGCCACGATTGAGACGCCACATCAGGTTTCTTCTGAGGATTTCTCATCATTTGAGGATTCATGTAATTTTCTTGCTCATTAAGCAACTCATCCGGCTGCTCAAGAGAACTGAAAGTGTAACAAAACACATTCTCCACCTGAATATCAGACAAATATGAGTCCAAACTTCTGTTCACTTCGGCTCCAAAGTCCATTAACTGTCTAAGAAACTCATTAACGGTGTTTAATTCTTCTTCTTTCACTATGATCCACTCTTTCAGACTCTTTTCACTGAATGGAGACTCATCATGAGCTTGAAGAAGATCCATCAGAGCACAAGACTCTTTCTCACAAGCTTTAACTGACTGGATCACAGATTTAATTCGGTCACTGAAATCTTGTCTGTACGTTTGGCAGTTTTGCAGCATATCTTGTATTTTCTTATGAAGTGCACTAAAAGTTGTTTCCCTGTTTTTTTCCAAAAGTACACTGCACTTGTATTCAGTCCACCTGAGATTGATGATAGCAGACTCTTTGGCCTTGATGAGATTCTGGTTTATGACTGTGAGACGCGTCACATCACTCTCTACGGTGTAGTCGAGTTTTCCCACCGCTGCACATTTAATATTGTACTCAGTATCTGGTCTGAGATCAGTCAGAGTAACTGTGTCCTGGTTCTTTGACACAGTTTGAGATGTCCAGTCTTTCTCTTCCTTCATTTTGTACAGTAATTTGAGCTCCTCTGTAGCAGGACCCGGTGGAGACACTTTCAGAACCACTTGCCTATATCTGACATCTTCAGTGATCGGACAGTCTGGTTTTGATGGAGGAGTGAAGCAAACAGCTTCATTACATCCATTTTCATACAGCAAAATGCAGGAACCTGGATTATTTTCCATTTCTTTTGATGCAATAATAAATTTGACTGATTTGCTGTTGTTTAAATCAATCAAGTGTTTAAATACGCTCAGGTTGTTCCTCATAGTCTTTTGGGTGTCAGGTGTGAGCCAAGTCTTGTGTTTGGGTTTCTCCTCGTTTCTTTCTTTTGTTGAAGAACTCAGGAAGGTCTTTTGTTCAGAAAGCAGCACATCTGTCCAGCTCAATGATGTGAAAGTGTAGCTGACCAAATGTTTAACTTCCAGATTCATTAGATTTTTATTGAGGTTGTTTTCTACCATTGCTCCTGAGTCATTCAGTTGTGTGAGCAATGCTTTAATAATGTCAGATTCTTCCTCTTTCTCTTTCAGCCATTGTTCAAGAGCGCTTCTTTCAAATGGAGATTCCTCATGATCTCGTAGAAGATCGATCAATGATGTGTCCTCTATGAATTTTCCACGGATCTTCGGTAACAGAGAGCCGAGTGTCTTCATGAGACTCAATCTGCACTGGTAGCAGTTTTTCTTCATGTCATTGATTTTGTCATGAAATGCAGTAAATGTGGAAGCTGGCGTGTCTGTCAGAAGATCACTGCATTTCATCTCAGTCGTACTCAAACTCTCAATTACAGATTCAAGATCTGTGCTTAAACCTGTGCTGATTTCATGTTGAAACTTTACAACTTTTGAGAAAAGTTTGTCCAAAGGATAAAGCCAAACTCTCAGAGGAACCGCAAGCTCTTTGTTTTCTCCCAGCAGTTTTGGAAGATCTTCAAAAACCTTCATAGCATCTTCAAAAGTGGTCGGATTACATGGTAGCTGGAAGTCGCCATAAAATGTACAGCTGAATTTTTGGGCAGCGGTCTTTAGATTGTCATTCAGTTTCATACTTGCATCAATGTTTCCAGCTGAAATGCCTTTAAGCTTCTCCAAGACAGCTTTTACATCTCCAGCTATCTCCATTTTGTCTTCACCAGATGAAACTTCCCTATCAAAAATAAAGCATGCATCTGCTCCATACAGCACTGCGGTCACTACATGTGTGGCAACACCATCGTCATAGTGAGCCATGTCTCCAGCAAAGTGGTTCATGATCAGTTCTTCAAACTTACTGGTGGAATGATAATGTAATGTCAGTCTCTGTTGATTGAATGATTTCTTTGTGTCTTTGAGAAAATTGGCAGCTCCACTTACACTGAGGAGTCCTCCTAAAACACTCAGTTTCAGACATCCATCAATATTCAGCAATCTAGATTTGTCCTCAATCGAGTCTGAAGCTGTGACTGTGAAAACTGTATTGATTTGGGGTTTCTCGCTTATGTTCTGCTGCAGCTGCTCTTTACTCCAAAGTCTGATTCCTGTAATGGAGAATTTCTTTTTATGTCAAAATACTCGCAATACTTGCAAAATAAATGCAACTTGCATTTTCTCCCAGTAGAAACACACCACATTATTTTTGTGTTTCTTGCCCCCATGGACCATTCTTACATTTAATTGTATATTTAATGACTTTACATGAATGACTCTGAGCAAGTGAATCACTAAATATAAACACTGGCTGACCATCACATTAATAATGCCAACCATCATGATGCAGAGCTACCAACACTCTTTTATCCTGTAACAAATCCTTCACTCGTACCTTAAACATGTAAGCCCTAAAATTATACTGTTTTGTTTTTGTCCAGAAAGCCTATTTAATTTCATTTTGATATTTTTTCCATTTTTTAATGCAACTTTTTTTTACCTTTAAAATTTCTAGATTTTATCAATAAATGAAAAATAAATAGAAGTAAGCACATTCTTCACATTATTTCAAATGAAATTAAAAAGAACAACATTTTCATGCATAACGCTGTTAAAGGACAATTCCGGCCAAAAATGAACCTAGGGCTAAATAACACATGGGTACCGAGTCGACCGTTCTATGGGATGCGTTTTCATGATAATCGAATGTACCCGGTTTTAATGTTATTTTTAGTTTAACCACAGATTAGCTTATAACGCTAGTGTATGGGGCATTGAATAAGTACGAATAAAAATCGCTAGTTAATACTACTAACAAGGCTCAAAATAGCCCCACACTAACACAAAGCATAAATGAGGGTCTCTACCTGCAAAATGAAGCATTGAAAACTTTGTAAGTGTACACAAGAAGATACTTTATAAGGACAGTACATTACGCGTGTAAGGAGCCATCTTTGGAAAACGTCTCAGGTTACGACTGTAACCATAGTTCCCTGAGAAAGGGAACGAGATGATGCGTCAACGACGCTTTGGGAACGCCCCAGCGTGAATGCGTCTGAAGCATCTATGTCAACTAGTCCAATGGAAGGAATGAACGTCATGGGCGGGTGACGTCATGACCAGGAAGTGATAAAAGAGCATCCGGTGCAAACCGGCATTAGCTTCAAAAATTGCAGAAGCAAGCCGATCACAGGGATGCAGGAAGTATGGCAGGGTGACGCATCGTCTCGTTCCCTTTCTCAGGGAACTATGGTTACAGTCGTAACCTGAGACGTTCCCTTTCGAGGGAACTTGCGATGCGTCAACGACGCTTTGGGAACGAGAATACCCAAATCGCCAGACTTACAAATGCCTGAGTGTCAGCCTGTTGTCACACTGCACCAAGCACCTGGGACCCTGGGGCAGCATCCAGGTCCAAGCTGTAAAACCTCACAAATGTGAGCGGTGAGGACCAGCCCGCCGCATCACAAACGTCTTGGAGAGAACTCCAGATAATAAAGCTTAGAAGCCATACTCCTAGTGGAATGAGCCCTGACCACCAAATGGTTGGCCAGAGGACTCGCAAGCAAGAAGAATAGTCTCGACTATCTATTTGCTCAATAGGTTGGATTTCTCCACAGAGAAGTCCGATGAACATAAGTGTCCAGTGCTCGCATTCCTGGTCCGATAAACGGGGGAGGACAGAAACCTGCAGCACAATAGGCCTCGGAATAATGGTAGGCACCTTAGGAACATATCCATGTTTGGGGTAAGATTGCCTTGGCCATCCCCGGTGCACTCAAGGCAGGTGGCCTGAAGAAAAGGGCCTGAAGGTCTCAACTATAAGGTGATGATACACAGGGCAACTTTTTGAGCAATGTTGCTGAGCAATGTTGCCGTCAACGGGCAACCAGATGAGACACAGGTCCCACGACCGATCTAAATTATCCAGATAGAAATGTATTGCCCATTTTTAATGAGAAAGTGCCCAAGCAACAATCGCTCGCCAAGATTGCCCAGCAACATTGCTCAAAAAGTTGCCCTGTGTATCATCACCTTTAGAGGGACGAAATAGCTAGCAGAAAATAGTCTTAAAAGAAAAGAACTTCTCTGAGACCAAATCTAAGAGCTCAAACGGAGCCCCAGATAGGCCTTCTAGAACTATTGCAAGGTCCCAAGCCGGCACCCTAGTGCAAGTTGCAGGCCTAAGCCTCAAAGTGCCATCGAAGGAAACGAGTGATCAGGGGGTCTCGACCCATAAATGTACCACCCACGAGGGTGTGGAAAGCCGCAATGGCCGCCACGTATACCTTAAGAGTGGAAGGACATAGACCTGATACAAAGCGTTCTTGCAGAAACTCGAATACTGTGTTTACTGAACAGTTAACCGGATCCGACTGATGCTGGTAACACCAAGAAGTGAAAAACTCT